GGTTTGTGGTTTCAGTTGTTGCCTTGACTGTCAAGATCCGCAATTATGAAGAACACATGCAGAAACATCGAAAGGTAAGCCTTGAGCATCGCTCACAGCTAAACACCAGCAACTGGGCCAGAGGAGTCTAAGAGGTAAAGGGCTCTGGGTCCTAAGAGTCAGCTTGAGATGCCAGGAGGCTACAGCACCAGAGTGCCCTCTCCTCAGGGAGGTAAACATTTCCTTTCTGCCTCCAGTAGAGAAGTGGAAGCCTTTCAGGGCTGTGCTGAATGTCACCAGTGGTCACAGTGTCTGGCACCTAGTGGATGCTCAGTAAATATTTGTTGAATGCATGAATAGGGTCAAATTGCTCTGGGTTCAAATCCAAGCGCTGCTACTTCCACTTAACTAGGTAGGCGATTCTGGGAAAGTTACTTTACATGTCTGAACCTCAGTTCTGTCTGTAAAATGGGAATCATAATATCTACTGACAGGATTGCAAGGACTATATAAAATAAAAGCAGCCAACATGATGCAAATACAGTATTTAGGCTTCTTCCTAAATATTTTACATGCATTAGCTTGTTTAATCCATCTTCCTGTCCCACTTCACAGAGGAATAATCTAGGCATGGAGAGGTTAAGTTATTCTCAAGGCACAGCACTAGGAAGTGAGTGCTAGGACTTCAAACTAAGGGGTCTGACTCCAGGGCCCATATTCTTAACCATTATGCCATATCTCAGCACAGTGTCGGGCACAGAGCTGCTGTAATTAGGCAGTTGCTAGTATTTTTAATAAACACACAGTTTGTGAATACAGACCGGTCCAGCTCCAGACTGGCATCTCAGTGTTCTCTGGAAGCTGGTTGAGCCTGTTCCTTGGAGGTCAGAGTTTTGTTCTAGAGTGTGGAACACCAGCCGCACTGCAGAATTTTCTCATGGAGCAGTACCTCGCTGTGGGTAGGGGTCTCCAAGAAGAGTGTACGTTCTTCCCTCCTCTCTACTCCATCTGAAAGTTTGCTGAGCTCTTGAGAGGCTGAGTGAGTAGTGTAGGGAAAGAGCATGAAATTTAGAGTGAGACGAGTATATCAATATTCAAGACCTGATAACATTGCTGACCCTTTATTTTCCCATCTGTAAAATAGGAATAACAATACCTACCTCAGAGTTGCACTAGTATTTGCAAGAGATTGTTGGGAGACTTCAGTGAGATGATGAAATTACTATCCTTTGTTACTATAAAGTGGCACACCACTTATTTATATAATACTGAAAGGGATACCAACCTTCTTACAGGACAAAGCTCTCAAGCGCTATCTGATGATGAGCATTGACCAGAGGCAAAAGATGCTCAAAAACCTCCGTAAGACCAACTACAGTGTCTTTGAGAAGACGTGCAAGGACCTGGGGATTGAGTACATCTTCCCCCCTATGTACCACCGAAAAGCCCACCGCCGCTGGGTGACCAAGAAGGCTTTGTGCATTCGGGTATGAGTCCAAATTGCTGCTTTGGTTGGTCCCGTTCTGGGACTGTGGTGGAAAGAGCAGAAGGGAGGGGTTGTCACTTTCTGATAAAGGCATGGAACTGGCGCCAAGGCCTTAACCCCATGGAGAAAGGCCATGTTGACCAGCTGGGGGAGTCGGTTCCCAGCCCATTTGCTCCCAGTCAGAGTTTTTACATAGAATTACAAAGTCTCTTTTTGTAATCTCCAGGTTTACCAGGAGGCTCAAAAGCTAAAGAAGCAAAAAAGGGCCTTAAAAGCAGCAGCAGCAGCCCAGAAACAACGCCTGATGAACCCAATAAGCTCTCCCAAAGCTGAACCAGAGGCAGTCAAGGAAAACCAATAAATTTTGTTGAAGTTTTATCTTTCTGTCTTGAAGAATAATAGAAGGTGGGGCTCTTTGTGGCCTGAGGAGTTCATTCATTCATTGTCATTCAGCTCTGGGATCCAAGGGTTGTCAGGCAGAGTCCCTGCCCTGGAACATCAGGCAGGACACTCACAGCACCTCACACATCACAACTCCCTGTCATCCAGGTGGTATTTCAGTGGAGGTGAGACCACAGCAGCAGAGGCAGCATGCTGGCTGGCTGCTGGGTGAGAAGGCCAGGGAAGTGTAGATGACTCTAGAAAGGTAGTTGGAGACAGTGGAGTGCCCTGAAGGCCGTCTATCAAATAGCAGGAAGCCGCTGAAGGGATATGTCACGTTGAAAGTGGTGTCTTCTGAAATTTAGCCTAGCAGCCAGTACGGCTGGAGGAGAGAAAGGAGCAGTAATATGGAGGACCTTAGCGATGCAGACAGAGAAATAGAGGAAAATAGAAATATTTTGGTGGAAAAAGCAGAACTTGGTGACTGATAATAGGGCCCATGGCGATAGAGTTGGAAGCCAAGGCTCAGGTGTCAAGTCTGAGTGGCTGGAAGGAAAGATGATCAGTAGGTTTTACAAATACTGAAATTTTACAGAAATGGTTGCTCATCAACTTAAAAATGTGCAGCAGATGAAGGAAAGGTGATCCTGGAAGGCAAGATGGGGGTGAAGGATGGGAAGCTGCTTAGCAGCTGGAAGGAGGGGTGCTTGGGGTCCCCAGCACAACCTCCAGGAGCGAGCAGACAGGATTGGGACATAGGCCAGTGGGGCTCCACTCCAAGTGGCATTAGGGAGGACATGCAAATAATTCGAGCACTTCTGGTCCTTGCCGCATCTAAAAGAAGAGTCAGTTACATTCGTGCTTTCATGGCACTTGACATGATCTCACTGATTCTTCAGCAACCCGGTGAGCTGGGTGTCCTTTCCAATTTAAGAAAAAGGAAGCTCCTTACTAAATGGTTAAATAGACTTGCCGGCCAATCTTAAATGGGGTAGGAGGGGCTGAGGGTGGGGTGGGCAAAGATGTTTTGATATAAACAAAACAAATGCACTTTGGGTGTGTTTCGGTATTTTTCTGGGGCTAGAGGGGTGGATTGGGATGTCCCTGTAGGTTAGTTCCAGAACGGGCTGTCTGTATATATTGTGGTAATAGGCATGTTTGACTCTTGTGAAGGGACATTAGTAGCTGCTGCAGGTCCTGTTTGGAACCCCATGTACAGTTCCCAGTTTTTTGTAAGTGTCAGTGCGGGAGGCATTTGACGCTTGTGTTTGTATCTCCTTTTTATGATTGCTGTACTGACCCATGTCTTTTTGGGGAGGGGTGAAAAGAGATTTGAAATAAAACTGTTTAGAAATTACTTCAAAAAAAAAGAAAAAGGAAGCTCCGCCTCTACATGGCTGCGCGGTCGCACCCTCGGCTCGGAGACTGCTCTAAAGATTCGCCTGGGTTGTCCTCGTTTTCGGGCACCTGCGCACGCGCCCGGGCTGGGTGAGGGTGTCCCGTTCCTCGGCGCCAGCCCCTGTCGCCCACCAGCCTGGCCCGGCCCTCGCCCCTCCGCGCAGCTGCCAAAGTCAAAACCAGCGCTCCCGCCAGGGGCCCGCCTCCGGCCCGGACCAATCCACCTCGTAGGTCTCGGGCACCCAGCCCAATAAGCGTCCTCCCCCGGGCGCCTCCCAACAAAGAGCCTGCTGATTGGCTAGTTTTGCCGTGCGCTGTGTCGCCCTAGCAACCAGGTTACGAAGACGCGGTGGTTGGGCCTTCAGGTCTCCAGCGACCCAGCTTTGGGTCTCTTCGCCAGCTCTCCGCGCTTTCGGCATCATGTCGGTGCGGGCGCTACCGCTGCTCTTCTTGAACTTGGGCGGGGAGATGCTTTACATCCTGGACCAGCGGCTGCGGGCCCAGAACATCCCCGGAGACAAGGCCCGCAGAGGTGAGAGACGCCCGGCCTGCTCAGCCAGCCCCCTTATAGACTGACCAATACCCCTGCACACTGCGCTCTTATAACCGGGGACCCTTCTCACGACGTCCACAGGCCCATCCAGTCAGGGCCACTCAGGAGCCAAATTCCCCAAAAGGTCTTTTCACAGCAGAGGGATTTAATACCCTCCTTGGATATTATTACGGTACCTCATGCACCCCTCCCCCAACTCCCTCCTCTCCTAATTGGCGAAGTGATTTCCCAATCTCTCTTGACAACCAGTCCCTCCCAAATACCTGGTGTTATTCTCTGTGCTAGTCCAAGCACCCTCTTTCCCCGCATGGACAGGTTCTGACTCTCCATTCCTCTGTGTGGTATCCTCCTTTTTAAACTGGAAGCCAATCTTACTAATTTCAGAAGCTATTTCTGGAAAGGTGAGGTCCTGAGATAACATAGATAAATTAGAAAACATAAGAAAAGTGTAGTTCTTTCCATCCCAATTGTTGGAAGAGAGTGTAATTGTGGAAATAATTATGTGACAGCTTCTAAAATGTAAAATCTGTCTCCCATATACACCCCATCTAATCCCCAGGACCACCCAGAATTCTCTGGCATCCTTTTTCTCTCCCTCTTTTCCTCCCTTCTCAACCAACAATTGCTTTCACCAACTTTCCTGGCATTACATATTATATTTCAAGGTAGAGGAAGAAAAGTTGATATAAAGGTAACTGACATGGTCACAATTAAAACATTTATTCCCTTCAACAGTATCTGTATGCTGAGTTGACGTTAAGCATACATATTCAGATATTCACCACTGGGTCTGTGCAATTGAGTCCAAGTCCATTCATAAAGAGAAAAAGAGCTCCCATAGCACACCCCTCCATCCATTTCATACCCTGCTGCCAGTGCGCTTTTTGACATGTAACTCTGTCCATAGTCCCTGCTACTTAAAACCCTTTGTCAGCTTTCCACTGCTGTCTGAGCAGAGGCCAAGTCCTTGGCAGGACATTTCAGGACCCTTCCTGATCTAATTTCTGTCCACCTCTGAAGTCCCACCTTCCACCACATACCAAACTGCCTGTGGGTCTCCATTCAAAGCATGTTCATTCCTGTTTCTATGCTAGTCATCTCCATTCTAACCCCCAATCTCCCACTTCTGTGCTAGGTAAGTCTCCTTTTGTCCTGCATTATTCTGCTTAAGATTCATTTCCTTTCCCACATGGGAAAGAGCCTGCACATACTCCCATAGCACCCATCCGTGTCCCTCTACCTTATCACTGACCATATTACCCTGTATTGGTCCATGTATGTGTCTCCCCCCACATGATTGTCTTACTCATCTTTGTACTCCAGCCCCTAGTATACATAGACCAGAATAAATTGGTGCTCAGTAAATGTTGAACTGATTCTTTAAATTCATTGTTTTTGTGTAACATTGCCACTTCTTCCTCTAGAACAGTGGTTCTCAACCTGTGGGTTGCAACCCCTTTGGGGGTCGAACAACCCTTTCACAGGGGTCACCTAAGACCATCGGAAAACACATATATAATTACATATTGTTTTGTGATTAATCACTATGCTTTAATTATGTTCAATTTGTAACAATGAAAATACATCCTGCATATCAGATATTTACATTACGATTCATAACAGTAGCAAAATTACAGTTATGAAGTAGCAACGAAAATAATTTTATGGTTGGGGGTCACCACAACATGAGGAACTGTATTAAAGGGTTGCAGCATTAGGAAGGTTGAGAACCACTGCTCTAGAAGGTTCCGTTTTCCTTGGCACCTATGTTGTGTGTTTTCATTTGGTTGAATGGCGTTAGTGAGCTGGCAGTCAGTTCTTAGATGGGCAGTCTACATCTTGGAAGGCGGTGTAAATTAGCAATTAAGAGCATGCTCTCTAGAGTCATACAGATATGGGTCCCAATTCCAGCTTTGCCATTTAACTAGTTGTACGACCTTAGAATGTAACCTCTATAAGCCTGTTTCTTTTTCCATAAAATGGGAATAATAATACATCCTATTAGCAAAGTCGTAAGGATTGAATGAGATAATGTATGTATTCAATATATTTAGCATAAGAAGTAGCAGATGTTGTCTTTCAAAAGGAGGTCTGGGCAAGACCTTGTGAATACTAGGGGACTGGCTTCTTTGTCTTCAGGAGATGTAGTCCTTAGGGGTTCGCTAGATATAGCTTAAGGGAGTGTCAGCCATCTTTGGTCATTCACATTCACAGACTGATTCCTTCCACAGTTGGGATGAGTGTCAGACGACACTGAGATGCTGAGTGGAGCATGATCCAGCCCTTCTGCACATTCACTGGAGGTAGTGCTTCTGATCAGTCTGGTTCAGTAATTGACTCTAAAAGCTAGAGGACATAGCTTCTTCATGACAACAACAACAAACATTTATTAAGCACTTACCATGAAGGGAGGACTTCCCTGAATACCTTAATCCCCACAACTATCCTATCATGAGGGTAATACTACTATCCCCATTTTACAGATGGGGAAACTAAGGCTAATTTGCCCAGGGTTACATAGCTGGTAAGAGGAAGAGTAAAGAATTTGAACCTAGGCCATCAGGCTCTAGAGCTCATACTCTTAGGCACTGCACAATACTTCCATATCTGGTGGTTACTGTACCAGAATCGTTGTGGGGGTTGGAAGGTCAGGAGGAAAGGGAGAGGTTTTGAAAAAAAATATATCCAATATACCAACTGATTTTTTAAAAGAAATGATAAAAAGTATCCTGGATGGCTGATGGGGACTTGTAGAAGATAGAGTGGAAAAGCAGGGTTGAGAGTTTGGGATTCAAAGTTGAGAAACACTCATCTATGCCACTATAGAGATGGTGTAGCTACAGGAAGCAGGAGCCACTGTGACAAATGCCTGTGCACGGAGACCTATAAACACCCGACACAGTAAACTAGTCTTCGTTGAAGCTTTGAATGGAAACCATGTTTCTTCTAGATGTTTCCATTATCTTACACAACTAAGTGGTCTCCTGGAGGCCATCCTGTTCCTACAGGACCAGTGCAGACAGTGCAGTCGTCCCCGCAACGCAGCCTCTGGCTTAGCATTCAACAGAAAGGAAGTGCTCTCTCTATGGAGCAACTTCTGAGTGTTGCCTATTGAAAGCTGTCCCACATTTTAAGCAATACTGAGAAAAATAAAACCTGCCTTTGCCTCATTCCCATCCTCTTAAAAATACTCATAAATAAGACCCTATTACCTTTTGTTTACATTCTTCATTTTACAGAAGGGGAAACTGAGGCATAGAGCCATTCATTGATTTTTCCAATACGTGAAGATCACATATTGGATCCAAATGGTTGAGGTTCTATTTTTATTTTTCTAGTTCCAATGGAACAGGCAGCTCTGGATAGCCTTGGGCATGCCTCCCACTCAAAATATAACTAAAGTGGGATTGTCACAAGCAAGTCTTCTGGAGAAATGATGGGAAAATAGGACATGATTTCACTTCCCCTGGATCTTCAAGTGGACAGGAGCCCGGAGCACACAGCACTGCAGAGACCTCTGCTGGAGCTGAGCTTCATTGCCTGCGGGAACGCCTCCTCCCCTGGGCATGCACTTGCCAGCTTCATTTCGGCAGCAGCCGTAGTCCCTGTCCCTGGGAGTAGATGAGCCCCTGGCAGCATCGTTGTTCCCTAACACACCTTCACGAGGGTCGAAACTCCACCTTTCTGAATTCCCACCAGCCTATTAGGCAAGACCACCTATAACATAAATGCCGCGGCAAGATAGCAGATGTGGGCATTATGCTACCGCAGCTGGTATCTGCTTTAAGAAGGCCTGACTCTTGGTGCTGCTTCCCCAGTGTTTTCTCTCCAAACACCTATGATGGTGAATTTTCCCAGAGGAGACTCATCTTACAAAGGGAGCCCTTTGCAGCCAGTTAGGGCTCAGCATGCCTGTGCTTCCAGACTGGTCTCTTAGGAACTATTGTTATTGTGCATTGAAGACACATATTTTTTTATTATAACTGCAGAAATTACCTTTGAAACAATCTAGTGGCAGATGTTTTCAAGGGGGACCATTAGTTATGTTTTTTTAAGTGTGGGTGTGTGTAGAATTCTGTTTATCTGGCAGTGGTTTTTCTAGATTGAAATCTCCCCAAAATATAAAGGGGGGGGAAAGTCATCTTTCATTCTTTATGGGTAGTGTCCAATGTCCTTCAGTAGAGAAAGAGGAACTAAAAGAGAAGCCAGCTAAGTGCTTGATATTTCATATTTCATCCCCACAACCCTATGAGGTAGGCTCCGTTATGATCCCATTTTACAGATGAAGAAACTGAGGTTAAACAAGTTGCTTGAAACTATATAGCTAGTAAATGATAGAGCCAGGTCTCAACCCACACAGGTTCTTAGCTCTTACAGATTTCTCTAGACAAGTACATTTTCCCTTATTTGCATTCCTTTTGACATCCCCTGATTGCTTTTGTCCTCAAGACTATTCTTTACAGTGGCCCCATCATTACTCCCCTCTTTTTACCTGGCAGTCACACATCTCTGTATAAAAAGTAAGTCAGAAACAAATAGACTTTTTTTTTCTTTTTAATTCATGTTTTCTAATTTGAGCAGTTCCGTCTGTGCTCTAGAAAGGGAAATCTTACTTTATAAAAAAATCAGGCTATACATAAAGGAAGTCCTTTGTCTACCTGTTCTTGGAATTACTCTTCCTCGTGGAAGTTAGTGTGTTTTGAAAGCCTTATTTTGAATAATATGTATTCTCGTGGCATTAGAGAGGATGACTTCTTGAGCCTTTCAAGACAAAGCCCAGGGTAGCTAGTCGATCTGAGTTTCCTCTCCTCCTAGGCCACTCTCTGTAAGTTAGAGCCTCTACGGCTTTTTGGGAGCGTCTTTATCCATCATCCCTTTAAAAGTTTCACATGGAAGGTAGAGTATTCACATTAGACATTGATGCAAACATGACAACGTTTCATAGACCAGATAGATCATTGGTATTTTTAAAGCCTCCTTGAAAATGATGTTTTTGCTTCATGAACTGGTGTTTTCTTTTTGTATGCTTCGTGTAGATGAATGGACAGAGGTGGACAGAAAACGAGGTATGCTATCTCTGGGTTGCATGTATTCAGTCTGCATCCACAGTTCAGCCAGTCCTCTATCAATTGGGTTTAAAGTGGGACCACTCTAAATATCTATATCATAAAAGGCCTGTGGCCGTCACGCCATAACGGCGTCACGACCAAACTAGCAAACCGACCTGGATCAGGGCGTAGGAAGTGGTGCTGGCAGGCCAACCTCATGGCCCCTACCCCCTGCCAGCCTGTCCCTGATAGGCTCTCCCACCATGATCAAGAGCGGGGTGGCTGGCCAAACGCCCCCTCCCTTCCCCCCAGCCAGCCCCACCCCCAATCAGCCCTCCCCACCATGATAGGCCTGCAGACCCTCCCCCTGGCCAGCCTCTCCTGATCATACCCCACCACCCCAGTAGGGGGCGGGCTGACGGGCCAACCTGCTGCAGCCCCCGATGGCCCCCACCAGCCTGATGGGCCTGCAGCCCCTCCCCCTGGCCGGCCCCGCCCCCTGTGGGCCCCCATCACCCTGATCAGGGGCAGGGCCAGCCAGCCCACCTCCCACAGCCCCACCCCATGGCCAGCCCCGCCCCCAATCGGCTCCCCAACCCCAATCGGGGGTGGGGCCCACCGGCCAATCACCCATGGCCCCTTCCCCCAGCCGGCCCGGCCCTGATTACCCAATCAGGGTGGGCTGGCTGGCCAACCTCCCATCAGGCCCAGCCCCGATCCTCCCTGATTGGGGCTGGGCCAGCTGGACCCCACCTGTGCATGAATTTGTGCACTGGGCCTCTAGTTTTAAAGAAAATAGCCATGAGTTTCTCTTTAGCTAAGACATTGGCTATACTATATTTGAACCTCTTGTGGAAAAACAGCATGTAAGATAAAAACCAAGCAAACTTAGGCACAAGGCCATATTGCACCTGAGGTACTTTTTTCTCTCTTCATCTTCTAAGCTTTGTGGGGACCTCTGGGGCAGTAGTTACACTTCTGGGTAGGTTGTCCTGTAGTGTAGTCCTTAAAGCAATTCTGTGATGGTATCATGTTACCAAAGAATTGTGGTTCAACATGAGTGACCTTCCTTGAACCATTCTCCTTAGCACACAGACATATCTGTTGAGCAACTGAGGAAAATGGAAGCATGTGGCTGCATGGCTGCCAGGGTTGTGGGCAGGAGGCATGATATCATGCATGCAGTATGGCCCTCTCATGCCAGATCTTCAGTTTCTCCTTCACCTACAACCAGCAGCAAACCTGAAAAAGTTGCCAGTTCCTCAGAGCAAAGCCTTAGCCTTTCTCCTCTTTAAGTGTCATGAGTAGCTCTCATCATTTGGCATTTGGGTGCAATTTATGCATGTCATCAGCCATCGTCCTCAGTATTTTAAATGCTCTCACCACACCAAGTATGCTGAGGAGATAACATAAAAGATGTAAGAGGAAGGGAAGTTGAATCAAACAGCCCCATTCTAATTTCAACTCCAGCACTAGCTGTGTGACCTTGGACTTTAACCTCTCTATAAGACTCAGTTTTCCTCCTTGATAGAATAAGGATAATAATCCAGAGTTGTCTTGGGGGGGTGTTAAATGAGATAATGCATGGAAGGTTCTAAGCCCAGTGCCTGGGACATGGTAAGAATTTGAAGCATTGTAACCATCCAGAAGTAATAGCTTCTCTCTTTTACCCTAGGTTCCAAATTGCATGTTCCCATAAACAACAGAGGTTTCAATTAACAGGGGTGTATTAAATACTCAGGCCAGGCTCAAAGAAAAGCCCAATAGGAGTGCTTGATATGCTTTTATTATATTTCACAACCATCTTTGGCCACTTCTCTTGAGCAGTTTTTGCCCACCTCTTGATGGGTGGCAGAATTCCAGATGGGAAGTGTGGGTTTTGAGGGCTTTTTGTATACATAACTGAATCACTGGAGTCAGTGTTAACTTAAGCATTCCAAAATAATGAGCAGGAACGAACTTCATAATCTGACCTCAGGATGCACCTGTGAAGTCACTTCACTCCCTGGCCTTAGTCTTTTCCTGATGGAGCCTGGCGCCCAGAACGTTCCTGCCTCATGCGACTGCTCAACACTCACTGAAATAGACTGACAGGTGTGGTCAGACCCATCTCTCAGGTTTAACTGAAATAGGACCAGGACTGGTTCTCCAGATGAAGGACCAGAGCACCTGGTGTTTATCTCAGTGTCTGGTACGTAGTAGGCCTGCCTCATCCAAGTGCGAGGTGAAAAGCTGTGAGATGTAGGCTTGTTCCCCATATTCTTTTGTGGCCCCCACATTCTTTCCAAAGAATTGTATGAGAGGGGCGACCCTGGGTTCTGGGGCTCAACCATAGAACTGCCCTTTTCTCCTTGGGGACATATGTGGTCACTGCTCTGCCCACAGGGAGCGGGCCTGCTGTGCTCTCTCTCCAACCACTGAACTTCCTGGGCATTCCTGTGCAAACAGCCGTGGTGACATACGGCTTATTCCCTTCCCAGAGGGAAAGGCCTCGTTTTGCTTTTTACTTTACTAGAGTGGCCAGCAGTCTCCTTGCGACTTTCTTTCTTCTAGCACTGACTTATTTGGGGGGAAGCTGTTTTCCTGGACCCTGCTAAGAGCTGAAAGACAGAAACGCTCAGCACCGAGGCGAATGGCAGCGGTCTATAGCATTAACACCGTCAGAGCGGGTGTGATTCTTTGAGTTCTTCCTCTTTGGACCTCCTCCCTGGCCTACAGGAATCTGTGGAAAGTTCAGACTCTCTCCTTGAGGCCTTAGGTGTGGCTTTTCAGTAGCACCTGTTTCCTTGCCCATTCTGTGTTTCATATAGGCTGCAGGAAGGAAAAGGTTAGGAAACCCAGTTACCGCAGTCCTTGCTTGTTTAGGTCAAAGGTATAAGGCTATGCATGAGGCACGTCCGGGAGAGTTATGTCTCCAAGCTGTCCGCACTGGGGACAGGTTAGCGTGCATTAGGGCAAGCTGTGGTGGGTTGGAATGGTCGGATGTGAGGGATGCCCTGTTTGGAGTGGAGTCGGTTCTTCCTCAGGAATAGGAAGGAGTCCAGCATAAAGTCCAAGGGCAAGTGTGAGTTCAACACGTCAGTAAGAAGTGTTAGTTCTTCTGTGTCAAGGTCCTTTTCCCCTCTCCCCTTCCTCCCCTCTCTGTAGCTCTTCCATTAAGATTTAAATACATATGGAATTGTATACCCGAAACCTATATAATGTTATCAACCGATGTTACCCCAATAAATTCAAAAATAAAAAAATAAAGATTTAAATACAACCAGCCCTGAGCTTCCCCTGCCCACCCCCCAAAAATGCTCTTGGACCTGCTTAAAAATGCCGGCCTGGGCCTTCAGGGTACTCCGATCAATTACTTAACGGTAGAGAGGGGGCCTGAAGTCTCGACCTCAATGCTCACCTTGCCTTCACTCGCTTAGATTTATGGCCACAGCCAATGCCTGGTGTGTCCTTTTGTGGCAAAAGAAAGAGGCATTTGTATCTTTCAGCAACAATCACTCGTGATTAATAATTGATTTTGTGTAATTATTTTAAGTAACCAGTTTTCTTTCAAATTTTAATTACTATGAATGTATATTTTTTTAGGCAAGAATATACATGGTTTAATTAAGAATAATCTGTGTTCATCCATCCTTGTTTCTATTTCTTGTACCAGAGGGTTTTCCTGGCCCTCAACTAATGATATTAGAGTAGCAAAAATGTCTTAATGAATGAGTGAATGAAGGACTAGATTTATAGACACTTTGGTTTGCACACATCTTAGGACCTTTTATTCTCACTAGATGAAAGTTTTCCATTTGAGCAATAGTCTGAGACATAGCACTACAGTGTAATATCAACATTATAAATCAAATGTAAAAATTAAGACATTCTAAAATGGTACTGATCTGAAGTACATGTCTTGTAGAAATATTAGAAACATTTTAATTTCTAACCAGTGGGTAGACTTGTCAATTTCCATAAAATATTTTACCAAAAATAGTCAACTTACCATTATTGGTCCCATTTTTATAAAATGTAATTTTAAGTAAAATGTTATAGATTTGCTAAACAAACAAGAGTGATGCTGTTTCTCATGTTAAGGAAGAGATCTAACCTAAAATGTTTATAGGAACATTTTTTAAAGAAAGAAGAAACATTTCTCCTATCACCAAGTGAGAGAAGTATGTAAAAGTGATTTGTAACCTCTCACGACACATTTGTACATTGTTACATGTATGTTAGCCCTGAGATGGCCTCATGGGGCTCTCTGGACCCCGCCTTCGATTGGAACATCTGTGAGGTTTCTCCCCAGGGAACAGATCTCACCAAGCACATCAGCACCCCACTCTGCGTAGGCTGGCTCCTCCATCACATTTGTACAGAGAGCATCTCCTGCATTAAGCTTCCTCCAGGACCCTGCTTAGCTGTATACTCTCTCTTGTCTCTACAGTTCTTCATGACATCATCTTAACCATGTTCAATAAAAGCTTTATAGAGGAATTGTTAAAACCCCAAGAGCTCTACTCCAAGAAGGCCCTCAGGACCATCTATGACCGCCTGGCTCATGCCTCCATCATGAAACTGAACCAGGCCAGCATGGATAAGGTGAGCAAACAGTTGCCTCTAGCCCCTTGATTGCATGTCGTGTATCTTTGGTGGATGATTGTAGACTGGAATCAAATGAGATGATGTAAGCAATGATGCCTTGTAAAAAAATGGCCTTGTAAATATTAGTTGTTGAGTTTCGGAGTTGGAAAGGACCTCAGACATCATCCACACCAGTCCCTCTATTGTTTATGTCACTCCACCTGCCCAGAGAGATGGTCTTCATGCCCATATTTATGAACACCTTAGCCCAACCCTAAAGACTTTAAATCTGCTTCATTCTTGAATCTCAGCTCTGACAACCAGGAAGTTTTTGAAGCAAATTCAAAACTGCTCAGCCTTTACTTATAACAGGGACATATATATCTTTTGGGGGAACAAATTATTAGGGCACTTTGATTTTTTTAAGTTAAGTCCATACATTTTTAAAATGTGTTTTTATTGATTGAGAGAGAGACAAACATCAATGTGAGAGTGAAACATCGATTGGCTGCCTCCCGCACAAACCCCAGCCTGGGATTGAGCCAAGCCTACATAGATTGGGGTTGACAACCTGGGCATGTGCCCAGACCAGGAATCGAACCAGCAATCTTTTGATGCATGGACGACGCTCCAACTGACTGAGCCACCCAGCCAGGACAAAAACCCTTTATTCGTTGATGTCTTTTCCACAGCTAGTTTTGTAATATCTTTTGCCATTTTTAAATTAAGGTATAATTTATATGACATATAATTCACCCTTTCATAGTGTACAATTCAGTGGTTTTTAGTATACTCATAAAGTTGTATCACCATCACCACTATCTAATTAGAGAACATTTCCATCAGTCAGTAGTAATGTCCTTTGTTTCATTTCTGTGATTCTTATCTACTGTTTTTCAACTCTTCATTTCATTGATTTTGGCTCCAAACTTTCTTTTCCATCCTTCTCCTTGGTTTGAATTTAGTTTGACCTTCTTTTTGTAGTTTTTTTTTTTAATATATTTTATTGATTTTTTACAGAGAGGAAGGGAGAGAGATAGAGAGCCAGAAACATCGATGAGAGAGAAACATCGATCAGCTGCCTCCTGCACATCTCCTACTGGGGATGTGCCCACAACCCAGGTACATGCCCTTGACCGGAATCGCAGACGCTCTATCCACTGAGCCAAACCGGTTTCGGCAAGTTTCTTAAGGTGAAAGGCTAGGTGTTGATTGGGGAAATGCAGGCATCCACTGCTGTAAATTTCCCTCTGAGCACTTCTTTAGCTGCATTCGAGACTGTTTTTTTAAAAAATATATATTTTTACTGATTTTAGAGAGGAAGGGAGAGGGAGAGAGATAGAAACATCAACGGTTAGAGAGACTCATTGATTGGCTGCCTCCTGCATGCCCCCCACTGGGGATCGAGCCCACAACCCGGGCATGTGCCCTGACTGGGAATCGAACCCCGGGACCCTTCAGTCCGCAGGCTGACTCTCTATCCACTGAGCCACACCAGCTAGGGCTCGAGACTATTTTTTATGGATGCGAAAACTCAGGCTCAGAGAGATGAGAAGACTTCACCAGGCCCGTTCACCTAGTCAGTGGCAATGGAGAGCTTATTTTAGGGATTTTGGTCTCCAACTCCAGCACCCAGTCCAGGGCCCCCGAGCTGCCAATATTGTTTCAAACATGTTCCATCAGCAATAAGCCGACCAGAAATCCTGGTTTGCCCAGGAATGTCCTGGTCTAACCCTGTTGTTTTGGCTTAATTATTAATATCACCCCCCTTTTACTCTCAAAAGTATCTTGGTTTGCTCAGCTGGTGTGGCTCAGTTGGTTGAGCGTCATCCCATACAATGAGAGGTCACCAGTTCGATTCCCAGGTTGCAGGCTCGATCCTCAGTACGGGATATGCAGGAGGCAGCCAATCGATAATTCTCTCTCATCGATGTTTCTGTCCCTCTCGCTCCCTCTCACTTCCTCTCTCTATAAAGTTAATAAAAACATATATATTTTTTAAAGTATCTTGGTTTGAGGGATAACTGATATAGTCACTGAGCTGTATGATATACCCAGTACTGGTTTTCAGTAAACGCTTGACTGCTTCATTGTGCGAAGGTTCTGACATCTGCTTTCATGATCCCATGTATTTTGTCCGTGTATGGGTTGGCAGCTCTATGACCTGATGACTATGGCTTTGAAATATCAAGTACTGCTGTGTCCCCGACCCAAGGATGTGCTGCTGGTCACTTTCAACCATTTAGACACCATCAAGGGATTAATCCAAGACAACCCAGCCCTCCTGCATCTGGTGGATGAGACTCTCCGGCAGCTGATTGAAGTAAGACACCATCAGTTTATCACCTCGGAGCCCCACACTTGCTCTCATTCCTCTGTTAAGAACGGAAAGATTCTATGGCAGAGAGAACAGGATGAGGAATGGCAAAACCTGCCACTCTCCCCGAAAACCCTCAAAATCTCCAAGTATCCATTTTGATCACACAAGAGGCACGATCATCTTCGGACCTCTTAACTGTTGCCTTCGAAATTGGGAAAGCAATGATCCAGAGCCTGGCATTTTCTCCTAACTTTTCGGAAAGGGGTTGGTGGTGGATGTTCTGCTAAATCTTGGGGAACGGCTTCTCTGGGTCTGTGGGGGACAGGAGAGGTGGGGTGCCCTGCTCGGTGTGGCGTGCTGGGGTCCGTGAGGGGGCAGTGCTGGCTCTCCTGCCGCCCTTCTTGCCCCAGCAGCCGAGTCCTCGCCTTGCTATGGCTCCCATCCCTGAGCACCCACCTCCCCCTACCTGTCTGCACTTCTCACCTCACTTCTGAAAGTGAATTGCTTCTTGCTGCTTTGCCTCTGCAGGTATACGGGGGCCTCTCTGCGGGGGAGTTCCAGCTGATCCGGCAGACGCTCCTCACCTTCTTCCAGGACCTGCACATCCGGGTGAGTGACGGCAGGCCCAGGAGCACCCTGCCACTGCTGTCCTAGGGAAATGGGGTGCCACGCAGTCAGGCAGACAAGGGCTGAGCTTGCCCAGTTAGTAGTGTCCTCATTGTTTGGCTCCATAAATGATCAACTTTTTTTTTTTATCTTTTTTTAAAAATATAATTTTTATTGTTGAAAGTATTACATATGTCTCCTTTTTCCCCCCCATTGACTCCCTCCAGCCCATCCCCACCCCAGGACCTCAGGCCCACTGTCTGTGTCCATGGGCCATGCATATACGCATACAAGGACCTTGGTTGATTACCTCCCACCCTCCCCGCCTTCCCTCCAAGATTCCGCACTCTGTTCCATGTTTTGAGTCTCTGGATCCACTCCATTCATCAGTTCATTTTGTTACTTAGATTCCACATATGAGTGAGATTATGTGATACTTGTCTTTCTCTTACTGACTTATTTCACTTAGCACGGTGGTCGGCAAACTGCGGCTCACGAGCCACATGCAGCTTTTTGGCCCCTTGAGTGTGGCTCTTCCACAAAATACCACGTGCGGGTGCACATACAGTGCGATTGAAACTTCGTGGCCCATGCGCAGAAGTCGGTTTTCGGCCTGGGCGAGTCTATTTTGAAGAAGTACTGTTGGTATTTGGCTCTGTTGACAATGAGTTTGCCGACCACTGACTTAGCACGATACTCTCCAGGTCCCTCCATTGCTGTCTCAAATGATCAACTTTCTGATAGCAAATCTCAGCAGTTTTTAAATGGACCAAGGAAGACAGTGAGACTGCCACTCCTCCCATTACCTGTGTTCCTTGGTGTCTTCCCTTCTCCAGAGGACATGTGCTCTCAGGGCCACCAGCCTGATCTGAATCGCACAGCCTCCCCCAGACCTCTCGTCTCGGGGACCCTCCAGTCCCTGAGGCTGTGCGAGGCTGCCCTCCTCCAGGAAGCTCTCGCCTTCCCTGGTGTCGGGCACCACGCCATCCTGGCCTTCCCTGACCCTTTCCATCTCTGCGCCTCTCACCCCTTCCTCTCCCTCTTCCTGTCTCCAAACCTTCTCCCCTCCACCCGCCCCCTGCTCTTTAGGAATCGCTTCCCTCCCCACTTTCCAGCTCTTTCACCCCACCCTTGCCCCAGCCCTGCCATCTAGACCAGCATCTCCACCTGAAACTCCCCACGAGGATGCCCACCCGTGCCTGCAATTTCGTGTCTGTACCTAAACTCACCTCCATGGACTGGGAAAGACAAATAGATTTCAGCTCTGAGGCCAATTTTATTATTAATCCTCATGAAAAGTTATATTTGCTATGGGTGGAGCAATAATAAGCACCCATATAAATTAAGATCTCTAATAGTCATTGATTAAAATAAAAATATGAAAGTACAAATATGATTAAGTTTTGCATTGCTTTAAACTATTGAAAACTCTGCATCATGTTATCAAGACTGTGCATGCTTGGGCGTTATTTTATGCGTTGTAGTAACATAGCAGCCATAATGACTTCTCAAGTCTGACAAGATCAAATTAATTATAATGAAAAGACATTCCTAATAATAAGGCTATAACAAAATGATTAAAATATATTAAACCACAAAATATATTAAGCTTTACTTGCTAAAATGGGCACGCAGTAAAATATCAGAACATTCATTAAGAGAAATAGGACTTCCACCTCCTGGCAGAATTCAGCCACTGATTTGTAGCATTTGGCTGGTTTTCCAAGTCTGAATGGTATTCGGCTCAGCTGCAATTTGTGATTGCCTATGCCCTATACAGATTGTCTCTGTTTTCAGCCGTCTTGATAGTTTTTAGATTTGCTAGCAAAACCAACCAACTAAACAAAGAAAACACAGCTCTGACTAACATTTCCTTGTTCATTGTTTAACCAAAACTCCTCATCTGATAACCAAAGCTTTCTGCAATATCACGAGTCACTGGAGTGCTCTGACGCGGCCCAGGCCCTGCCTTGCTCTGCCCTCAGGCCTGGCCAGAGACCACTTCCATTTGGAATCCTGAGCAACCCCTCTCAGCCCTCCAGAACTCCTCCAGAGCTGCCTCCTACAGGGCGGGCCCCTCAGGTCCCCCACCCTCTCCCACTCTCCTTCCCATTCACACATCCTTCCACCGTGCACTTTCCTTGTGTTCTTTCCATTGCTTCCGTTGTTGGAAAATATCATCGCCTCGTCCTGGAATGTTCCTTATGCCTCCACTCCACTATCCACTCCTCTTGGAAATGTTTCATGCCTGGAAAACCAGTCTAACAAATATTTCCTAAGTGCCTACTCTATGCCAGCACTGTTTTCAGTGTTGGAGGTAAGTGAGCAAGGAGGCGGCCCTGCCTTAAGGGGGTTCTCTGCTGCGGGAAGAGACAGGGAGGACAAGTCAATAATATTCTGGTTCTGACCACTTCTAGGAAGACGGCAACGCAGGATAAAGTTATAGAGGGCAACTGGGATGGGAGGTCGCCCAGTAGAGCGTTCTGTTGTGACGGGAAAGTCCTCTATCCCTGTTGTGCAGTATGGTTGCCTTTAGCCGCACGTGGCTGGTGTGACTGAGAAACCGAATTTTCAATTTCATTTAATTTTAATTTTAATAGCCACACTTGACTAGTCGTTACTATACTGGATAGCACATCCTTAGATGATAGAGTCCATTACAGCCTTTCTGAGAACAGCCTTTTTTAAAAATATATTTGTATTGATTTCAGAAAGGAAAGGAGAGGCAGAGAGAGATAGAAACATCAATGATGAGAGAGAATCATTGATTGGCTGCCTCTTGCACGCCCCCCACTGGAGACGGAGCCAACAACCCTGGCATGTGCCCTGGAGCAGAATCGAACCTGTTACCCTTCAGTCCACAGGCCGATGCTCTATCCACTGACCCAAACCAACTAGGGCTGAGAACCAACATTTTAATTGAGACTGTGACTAACAACAGAGATCTCAGGAAAGGGCATCGAAATGGAAGTGACAGCAAGTACGAAGGCCCTTGGATGGGAAAAAGCATAAAGTGTTCCTTGGACAAGGAGAAAGCCAATCTGAACGAAGCTTGTCGAGGCCGGAATGATGGTCCAAGTTTACAGCCTGTGCAGCATGGGCCTGGCTAATCATAGCAGGTGCCAGTTATACACAAACTGGTCCCTACAGTTGACTTACCTTTAGACCCCAGTAAGGAGTTTATTCTAAGAGTGAAGAAAAGATTTGAAGCATTTTAGGGTGATCTGATTCGTGTTCTGGAAGATGAGCTATATGAGATCAGGGCAGAGGTAAGACAGCAGTTGGAAAACTGTTGCGAAATTAGGTAAAAAAAGAAAGTTCTTGGATTGGGTGCTACCAGTAAAGACAGTGAGACATGTTCACATTCAGGATATACCTTCAGAGCAAGATGAATAAGACTTACTAAGAGATTAGATGTGTATAGGGGGGATAAATTGTAATAGAGACTTGATCTGGAGTGGTGAACACACAATACAGTGTAGAGATGATGTGTAGTAGAATTGTGCACCTGAAACCTGTATAATTTTGTTAACCAACGCCACCCTGATAAATTCAATAAAGGCTGAGAGAGAAAGAGAGAGAGAGAGAGAGAGAGAGAGAGAGAGAGAGGGAGAGAGAGAAATGAGAGGAAGAAGAATAAAGAACGAATACTAAGTTTTTGTCCTGAGCAACTGTGGTGCCCATTAGGCATCCAAGTAACAATATCAAATAGGCAGTCGGTTATGCTGCAAGCAGTTGAGTATGGCTGGAGCATGGGGTTCACGGAGGAGCATGGCTGTGGAGAAGATCGGGGGCCGACTGGAAGGTGTATAACTTACCAAAAACCCGGAGCCGGGGAGTGGCCCAGCTAAGATGTACTCTAGGCAGCCCACCGTCAGAGCCTAAACTGGCAGCTTACAATTCTTGTCACTTTGCATTTTCACTGCCTGGCATACAACATCCTTGATGATATTACAAATATAAAGGACTTATTTCACACATAAGGAAGCTAAGATCCAACAGAACTGCTACAATGTTTATGGGATTTAGTCTGACCAAGACCTCAATACAGAGCGCACAAACCCAGGAGTAGACATAAGCATATATGGTGTTTTCAGGCACATAAAGGACCTTCAACCCATTGCCGGCAGGTCTCCCTCTCCAGCCTCTTGTCACCAATCCTGCCCGGGCTAAGAGTTTGTGCTCCAGAGTCAGATACACAAGGGCCGGCTTGCATCCTCCGCTCTGGCCCTGTGAGCTGGCTGGCCTTGAGCGAGTGTCTTAATCTCTGAGCTGCCGATGCCTCACCTGTGAAGTGGAGATAGTGAGGTTCTTACAGCACTGTCCGGTTATAGCCTTTCTGAGAACAGACTTTATGGAAAGGTAACAGGGGACCAAGGAATGGGTGTGGCATTTGGAGTCAGCTTTGGTTTCGAATCCTTGCCCTGTCTCTTATTGTTCTCTTTGGGCAAGTCACTTTACTCTGTGACCCACGGCTTTCTCATCTTTAAAACGGGGGTAAGCCAGACTGTGTGGCTCAGTGGTTGACCATTGGCCCATGCACCAAGAGGTCACTGGTCCGACTCCCAGTCAGGGCACATGCCCAGGTTGTGGGTTGTGGGTTGTGGGCTTGATCCCCAGGGGCGTGGGGATGTAAGAGGCAGCCGATCAGTGTTTCTCTCTCATCGATGTTTCTATCTCTATCTCTCCCTTCTCTCTCTAAAAATCAATGGAAACATATTTTAAAATAATAATTGCTAAAAAGGGAGGGAGGGAGTAATGCACCTCACCTAGATTTTCTGTGAGGCTCAAAAGGAGTTTTGTTTGTAAAAAACACTGTTCTGCAGATGTTAGCTATGGTGAGTTTTCCTCTTATTGTTATAACTCACTAGGTAACATTCCCAACCCACTGCACACTTTCCATCCTCACAGTGCTCACGTCTATGAAAATCTACCAGGAAAAATGATAATAAGTGTTGCTGTTTTTTTCAGGTGTCCCTATTTCTAAAGGACAAAGTCCAGAATTCTAATGGTCGCTTTGTGTTGCCAGTGTCTGGGCCTGTTCCCTGGGGCATTGAAGTTCCTGGACTCATCAGGTGAATTCTCAACAATAATGGTCAGACCAGGGTTTGGGGCTCCGGGAAGCCAGTGTGTGGGCCTCCACACAGAATGCAGCTCGGTGGGCCCTTCCCTTCCTCAGGAAAGCACAGGAGTTAGGAGGTCAGGTGCTAGTCCCAGCTCTGCCACTTGGCGGACACTCACGGCAAACCACCCCCTCCTCCGGCATTCATTTCCTCATCTGTTAAATGGGCTCATCCTTTGTCTTCCCAGACTGAGGATGAATAAGATAATGATGCTCTCAAATGCTTACATAGCACCTGGCACATAACAGGCACTCAATAAATATTGTTGCATCAATATTATTACCACCACCAGCACCTTTATCTTGAAAGGGCTCATGAATTCCTTTTTGTCCCACAGTACAAAGAATAAAGACGCCTCCAGGACTACCCAGGCTTGGAGAACATTCCATCATGTCATACTTTGTATTGCAGAATGTTCGACAACAAAGGCGAAGAAGTGAGGCGGGTGGAATTCCCGCACGGTGGAAACTATGTCGCTGCGCCAAAGGAAGGTTCTTTTGAAGTTTATGGAGACCGAGTCCTGAAACTAGGAACGAATATGTAAGCAAATCCTCCCTCCCTGAGTGAGTTCAAGTCCAAGGGAGTCACCTCATTTAGAAAGCCAGCTTGACTTCGACCGTGAAATCCTGCTGACACCTGCAGTGGTTTCCCCTCAGACACAATGCATGCCGCGCCCCCCACCTCCACAGGGCACCTAAGATTTCCAGACATCAGGTCACTCTACAGGTTTAAAAGATAAATAATTTTAAGTCCTGGCTGGTTTGGCTCAGTGGATAGAGCATCAGCCTGCGGACTGAAGGGTCCCGGGTTTGATTCTGGTCAAGGGCACATGCCCAGGTTGCATGCTCAATCCCCAATAGGGGACATGCAGGAGGCAGCCGATCAATGATTCTCATCAGTGATGTTTCTCTCTCTTCTCTCTCTCTCTCTCTTTCTCTCTCTCTCTCTCTCTCTCTCTCTCTCTCCCTCCCCTTTCCTCTCTGAAATCAATAAAAAATATATTTTTTAAAAAGATAAATAATTTTAAGTGGCCCTGGAGATTCAGAAAGGCGAGGTACTTCCACACAGCTTCCCAGGTATTTTTCTTCAGGGGAAAAAGTAAAATTTGAGCAGTTGACAAACACTTACTTGTATGTTTAACTCCCAGCACCTTTCTGGATGCTTTTAAACATCTCAGAACAAAAGCCGCGAGCTAGCCCAGCTGGCGTGGCTCAGTGATTCAGCATCCACTTAGGGACCAGGAGGTCACAGTTTGTTTGTTTGTTTTGTTTTGTTTTATTGCTTAAAGTATTACAAAGAGTATTACATATGTCTCCTTTTTTCCCCCGCCCTTGATAATCCCCTGACCTCCCCTACCCCCCAGTGTCTTATGTCCATTGGTTATGCTTATATGCATGCATACAAGTTTGATTCCCGGTCAGGGCACACGCCTGGGTTGCTGGCTCAATCCCCAGTGTGTGGCGTGCAGGAGGCAGCCGATCAATGATTCTCTCTCATCATGGATGTTTCTATCTCTCTCCCTTCCTCTCTGAAATCAATAAAAATGTTATTTAAAAAAAAAAAGCCATGAGCTATACTTAGGTGTTAGAAGGACGTCAGTTTAAGGGGCTAAACAACGTTTTCACAGTTTTCTGTTGACAACCAGGTACAGTGTGAACCGGCCTGTGGAAACCCATACATCTGGAACATCAAAGAACTTAGCTTCACAGACACAGGTGAGCCTCTGCCTCCTGTATTTATCTTCTGAGCTTACTTCTAGATACAAAAGTCCAGATGGGGAGAAGGGTGGGAACTCTGGATTTCAAAGCTAGCCAACATTTCCCTCATTGTTCGCAATCTTAAGTACTCAGGTTTTTAATTGTAGTTTCCCATGGAGACCTCCAGTGATCTGACTAATTAGGTAATTTTAGGCTTGGTTCAATCACCATAATTAAGTGGGAACCACACAGCAGGGCATGTGAAATTAGCACCAAACCAGTGCCATCAGGTCCGGGGCCGCTGACCTCAGCACCTTATCATTAAAACGTCCCTTTTCAGTGCTCCCCTTATTGTGCTAGCTAAGCTCAACATGGGGTTTTAGGTTCTCTGGATTCCATCTATACAAACTCTCACTTAACTAACTGCCAGCTAGCCACAGGACAAATCGTGGAATATTCCGTTACTCGGAAAACATTCGTTGAACTGCTTCTATGGGCTGGGTACCCAGGGACACAAGCTGGCTTAGATGGGGTCTCACCCTGAAGGGGCTCATATAGTTGGGAAGACAGCGATAGAACAAACAACTTTCACACAGGGGAGGTTCTGAACGAAGTGCCGTGTGTTCTGTCCAGCGGGCTGGGAGCAGGGGACTGAATCAGGAAAGCTGTTCAGGGGGTGACATTCAAATGGAGCTCTGGAGAGGATAAGGTACTCAGCAGGCTGAAGGAGAAATGGGGGTGCAGACCCAGGTGACAGTTTGGGCAAAGGCGCCAAGGGGCAGGAGAGCATAGTGTTTGGGGGAGCAGGGAGGCAGCACCTCTCCCCCATGACTAGGTCACGGCCTAATTGAGGCAGGTGGCCAGAGGTTCGGCTGTACAGGGACACCGTTCGGGGCCTGATTAGGAAGGAGCGTAAACAATTTGGACTTTGCCCTTTAGGCAGGAGACGGAGGGGTTTATTTCAAGCAAGGAAGAGGTGAGAAGAGAACTGTGTTTTAGATAACTGGCGGCAGAGTGACCGAAGAGGCCGAGCAGGGGAAGGCCGGGTTAGAGAGCCATGTTAGAAGGTGAAGGTGGAAGTGGGCAAGACGCAGGGTGTGTTCACCATGGTCACCACCAGAGGGCAGTGTGGTCGCTCCTACGCAGTGAGTGCCCTGGGACCGGGAGCCCTCAGTGTGAGGGAACCAAACTGCCTGAAGAGGAAGCAGTGTTCTTCAAGGAGGGAGGTAGTTTGAGGACAATGGGTCCCTGGGGCCTTCCACTCATCCTGAAAGTGTGAAGGTCTCTGGTTTGCTGCCCTGCTAGAGTCCCTCTGCTTCTGACGCAGACTGTTTCTCTGTTGGTTAAGCCTGTTTTCTATGCTTTATTTGGACCCAGTTCTTCCCAGAAATAATTTAAATAGTTATTGCTTTGCCTGGGTTTGTGATACCACCCTGGGTCTCTGGGTCTCTGGGTCTCAGCAGGAAACATGATCACTTTCATGTGGCTAAAAATCATGACATTTTTTCTGCAGCAAAGCATTGCTCCAAACCCTCTTGCTAAAGAAGAGCTGAATTTCTTGGCCAAGCTGATGGGAGGAATGGAGATTAAGAAAACCAGTGGCCCTGAGCCAGGATTCCGGTTGAATCTCTTTACCACCGACGAAGAGGAAGAGTATGTTTTAAATCTGTTTCTTTAAAGACCTATAGAAAAATCCCGAGTGTGCTAAGCCAAAAAGGTGACCACCATAACCAGCGACACTTATAAATACACGTGTAAAGACCACAGATGACTGCCAGCCAATTCAATAACCTGGTTAAGAAGAGTCCCCCGTGTGAAACAGCCTGAACTCGCTGGATTCGTTCACAGCACACCTGAACAAGAAGTATTAGAAGTCAAGATAATCAAATCAAGGAACGTCTGTTTAGAAGCCAGAGGAGGGAGGTCAAAGAATGATATCTTTGAGATTAGATAGCCTCCCCAAAACCAGTAGCAGTAGTAACTGACTGAGATTTATAGTGCTTGACGGTTTACAGAGCACTTTTGCATTCATTACCTCATGTGATCCTCCTCACAACCAAATATTTGGGGGTGGGAGTGCCTTCTATTTCCCTATCCATTGAACTGCCTTCTTTTGTTCATGTCTGTGTGGCAGGTACTGGGTAAGTGCTGGGAACACAAAGATGGAGCGTGTGACCGAGGGCCTGCCCTCAGGAGCTCCCCGCGTAGCAGGAGAATGAATGTGTCCATAGGTCATGTCAGTGCCCGGTCATAAATGTGCTAATGGAGGACACAGTGGTTACTTGCGCTGGCAGATTGAAAGAGTTGGCATCTGAGCTGGGTCTTGGAATGTGCCAAGCAGAGGAAGGGGGAAGCATTCTTGGCAGAGTTTAGTACGTGCAAAGGCACAGAGACAAAAGAATGTGACTTTCTGGAGTGCGGGGGGCATTGGTTGGGCATGGAGGAAACAAAGTTGAAGGGAAATGGCAGGAGAGGAGGCAGAAAAGAAATAGGTTGCCCAGTTGTCAAGGGCCAGTTTGTCATGCTGGCAGGGAGAGAACGCTAACCTTTGACCTATTTCTCTCCCATCTCATGCAGACAAGCAGCGCTAACCAGGCCAGAGGAGTTATCCCATGAAGTTGTCAACATACAAGCTACTCAGGTGTGTCCAGGGGACTCCGTGTCAAATCTTATTCCCCTCCTCATCCTGTAATAACTTTGACCTTCCAAGGCCATACCTTCTCTCTGATCCAGTGGTTCTCAACCTGTGGGTCGCGACCCCTTTCGCGGTCGAACGACCCTTTCACAGGGGTCGCCTAAGACCATCCTGCATATCAGATATTTACATTACAATTCATAACAGAAGCAACATTACAGTTATGAAGTAACAATGAAAATAATTTTATGGTTGGATCACAACATGAAGAACTGTATTTAAAGGGCCAGAAGGTTGAGAACCACTGCTCTAATCAGTATGATGAGCTGAAATGCATCACAGTGGTGGGATAAAAATGAAATACCAACTGCATGTCTCGTTTCTCGAACAGGACCAGCAAAGGAACCAAGAGCTGGCTCGGATCATGGGGGAGTTTGAGGTCATGGACCAGCCAAGGTGGAGTGCCAGCAAGGGGGATGATTTGCTGGCCATGATGGACGAGTTATAGCTGTGCGGACCAGGCACACCCCTCGCTGTGGGAGAGGCTGCCTGGTGCGGACCCTGGGGGATGCAGAAGGATGCCGCTCGTTCTCTGCTGAGTGAAGAAGCCATTACCTCTTGTTCCCGTTCGTGTTGGGACGGACTGCTCCAGTCTCTCAGGAAGCACACTCCCCAGAAGGCACACATACACATCTACTCCCATTTCCTTCTGCTTTGATGACAACCCTCCAAAGCATCCTGGGCCACAGGTTCAAGCCTCGGAGTTGGTAAGGGGCGCTTCCATCCCTGCTTTCCTGTGGGGCCTACAGCTCACAGATGCCTGCGAATCGTCACCAAACTTCAGAGCTTTCTGGGATGGCTCCTGCCTTGTGAGTCTGAAATAAGTGGAAAAGGCAGTTGCCTCACGCAATTGGGGCCCAGTTTAGACAGCCCTCCTCTCCCTGGCACCCTGGGAGCTGTAACCTCAGAGGCAGGGGAAGCAAGGCCGTGTGACGGGAGCACGCAGCCGGGTCCCCCGCAGAGCACGTGGGCACCTGCAGTTCGCTGCACAGCTCTCCATCCCTGCATGGTGGGGGCTTCTCCCTCATGGAGACGCGCACCAAGGAAAGAGTGCTTCATCCCCAGAGCCTTCCGCGGCCACCTAGTGCCCTTGCCTTCTAAACACCCAGCACGGTGCGCCAGGACACCGTCTCCTCTGCCGCTCCACCCGGGCCAAACAGAGCCTTAAGCTGGATTCATGGGAGGCGCACGTGGTGAGTCATTTTACCTTCCGTGTCCCAGATGCGCTGCTTCCCTGGCACGATGCCAAGTGTAGTTGAGCTATCAGACCAGGGTTGCCTTCCCTGTTCCAGGAAGGCCTGGGACTGAGTAACTGGTGGGCTCAGGGCCACCTCATGTCCAGAGGTCCAGGCCCAGTCAGCCCTGTGGAAGGAACCTCCAGGACGGCAGAGGGCAGGAGGAAACGGAGCTGCGTCGGTCATCGCCTGAGATTGGACCGACCACAGGGAACGCACCCTGGCAAGAGGGGAGGCAAACACTTCTGGAATCTGAGGGCCCGGGAAGCTGTCCCTTAGCTTGCCACGGCATAGTGTTTGATCGCAGACAGGTAAATCACCAAATAAATGTAATTTGCCACCTTCCCGTGAAGTTACACTGCCTTGCCTACAAAGACGCCCCCAAAAGGTCCTTTGGGGAGGAGAGACGTTTGCTGTAAAACGCCTGTTACAGGCTTGCAAACTGCCTTCTCCTTTAGTCTCTTCCAAGCAATCCGGGTGCCAGAGGTAAGGGAAGGTTCTGTCCAGTTCTGGGTCTGGCTCCGCCGCGCTGCCACAAACCTGGACTTCACTGTCGGCTCTGAGCAGGTCCCAGGACCTTGGAGGTTGCCACCAGCTGCTGAGAGGCAACAGCCTCCTCCCTCCACCTACTCCAGAGCAATGCCGAGGGTTTCAAATGTATCTGTCCTCTCGGTAAATAAACAAGATACGGATCTCTGGTAAGGCAGCCTAGTCATGAGGCAATCTGAGTTTCATGTCTCTAGACTTGCACAAATATTGAGACAAACAAGTTGATTGGCATGGTGGCTCAGGGCATCCAGAAAAAGCAGGGGAGTTGGAAGGAGGCAAGAGGAAGGGAGGTAGGGAAACTCTGCCAGTGTGTGACTCTGGGCCGCGGGAAGCCCGGCTGGCGTGGCTCAGTGGTTGAGCGTCGACCTATGAACCAGAAAGGTCATGGCATATGCCTGGGTTGTGGGCTTGATCCCCAGTAGGGGATGTGCAGGAAGTAGCAGATCAATGATTCTCTCTCATCGTTGTTTCTATCTCTCTCTCCCTCTCCTTCCTCTCTGAAATCAATAAAAATATATTAAAAAGTAAATAAAACCAGGCCACGGGGAACAAGGGTGTCACACACAGTGCACAGCGCGCTTCAAGGGGAGGCATGCCGTGGTCAGAGGCAGGACACTGGGTTCTGGTCCCGTTCCTGCCCCCAACTCCCCATGTGCCCTAGGCAGTTACCGTCCCGAGCCTCGGTGCCCCCATCCGTAAGAATGAGAAGGAACTAGCTCACTGGCTGGGGCAGGCTCACCCACGCAAGTCACTGACTTTAGTTTCCTAGGCCCTGGCCCAGGGGGGACCTGGGGATTGGAATGTTTGCCCGTGCTGGCCCCAGCTCCATGCTTCGGGGGTTTGTCTGCTCTCTCTCAGCTCCTCTGTGCTAATCTCTTCTCAACTAAGTTTCAAACTGTGACGCTCCGTGTCGGAATGCCCTACAGATTGCACAGGCAAAACTCTAGAAAAGCCTTCGGAATAAAAGTTCTTTAATGATTCCCAGAAGAAAGATGTAATCAAAATTGAGACCGAAGAGGGAAGACAAAAGGGGGCAAAGTGTGTTTAGCCCTCAGTTGTAAGAGGCAAGTCACCCCATGTAGCCCCCATCGGTATCTAACAATTTTTAAAGTGAACTCACTTTTTGCGTTGTACGGATCGAGATGCTGGTGGGCAAGGAACGCACAGTCACCGGACCCTGAGACCCCACGTCCAACCAGGATCAGGCTCCCTCACCCACTCCATCTGGTTTATGGCTCTGGTTTGCATCCCGTGAGACCAACTCGAGCCACAGGAAACCTCAGGAAGAGAAATGCAAATTTTAGAAAAGACTGATCACAGTAACTAATCATAAAGACCCAAATGAAAATCTGAAAACTCAGAGTACCATTACCTCTCCCTAACTCCCTTGACATAATGCCCTGGATAACTCCTCCTCAGCTGCTAACTTCCTGGACAGCTGATCAGAGTTCACGGAGTGGCCGGGAAGCCCCTCCACAGTTGAGGCTTCCCTGCACAGTTTCGGCATTTGGTGAGAAGTAGCTTCTCAGATCATAACTCGCCCCTTTTCAAACGAGAATGTCAAGATGCATTCCAAGGACCAAGGGAATTCCTTGAGTTATCTGATTACCTTAACCACCCCCACACCTCCCACCCCCCCACCAGCTCTCAGCAAACAGCACAGAGATTCACTGTCTTTCTTTTTTGTTTCTGGGATGTACTGCCTCCTGGTGGCAGAAAAAACATTCCCTTTCTCTGATATGTCCAGGACTGCATGGACACCGCATACCCAGCCGAGCCCGGAGAAGCGGGGCCAAGCCATGGGCTTCGAAACCCCGGACCGCGGTTAGATGTCCAAATGGGTCTGCCCTCTGTCAGCTTTATAAACT